TTCATTACTTATTTACCAAAGGATCAAAAGAAGAAATTTTACAACCAAGGAATATTTCTTTGTTGTTATAGATCAGTGTTGGTTATCAGTAAAAGTAATGTTGATCACACACACATTTATAAAGCTTAGTGTGTGTCAGTGAATTTGAGTGTGATGGTTTTTACTGATACTGTGCCTGGTGGACAATCAAGGCAAGCTCATGAGCTCATCTTTACATGACATCACAAAATCTGCTTATTGATTCGGTGACCATTATTCCACTATAATCCATTTGACAGGAAGGGAATGGGCTGTGTTAAAGAGTTAAGAAAGAGTAGTGATACCCAAGGTGTATGTGTAGATATTTTTTGCAAGCAACAGTTAAATAAATTGCTAATATTTTATTATAGTACAGTAGATGTTTCACAGAGCCTGGTTCTTTTTGGTGGCCTTTTAAAAGCGTTACATGTTTCCCAGACTGCTGCCTTTGATAACACAGTTCAGGATAGTCCATAATAAAAGGTTTGTAACTGTGAGTGTGAGTGTTCTTGTGATGCAATTGGCCGGTCAGCGTTCTCATGATCTTCAATATTCTGTTTGACTGAGCAACTGACAGTCAGATGAATGGCAATACAAACAGATTGCTTTACTTCCATGAAACAACCAATAATCACATGGGTTTTGTAAACAGTGTTTGTAAGTCTTTTTAAATGACATGTAACATTGCCCCCTAGTGTTGTTGATGTGCTCTGACATGTCCTGTGAAACAAAAATCATTGCTTTGAAACTTTCCCACCTCCTGTTTTTGTGTTCTCGAAAATTCTAATTTTTTTTAGTAATACTCTATTTATTTGTTAGACTTTTTTCTAATTTATTTGGATATTGTCTAACTATTTGTTGCATGAGAACATTTTAATAATCTAAAGAACCCTTTTCCACTATAAACTTTTGTGCAATGAAAAGGTGCCAATGTTAACGGTTCTTCATTTTACCATATTGTAGATGTTAATAAAGAACCTTTCATTTTAAGAGTGTATTGCAAAATGTGTCCAGATAAGCAAGCAAATAAAAAAAAAAGTAACATTGATTTTGTTCAGATGCACAATACACAGAGAATTAAGAAATATGTTTTTATGAAACATACATTTTACACATTTATTTTCTTCATTCTTGTTCGCAATTAGCATGCACATTGACTCACATAGAAAAACAAACATATAAGCACACAAGTGTAGACATAATTACATTATTGCATACACACGCACGCACGCACACACACACACACACACACACACACACACAGGTCCCTGTGAAAAACTTGGCCGGTGGTCACGCAATCTGAAAGTCTCTGACACTGTTAACCTACAGAGAGCAGAAAATGAGGGATTAGAAGATAAAATAAAATATGTTCAAAATATGAACAAAAATGAATAAAAATAAACAAATCTCCAACAAATTTCATTGGGGTTATTTAACATAAATATGTTGTTCAAATTTGGTTAGAAAGGCACCAGGTACAATACTCTAAACTAAAGTAATACTAGTCCTCAAGCCAAAGTTAACGATACAGGACTTTGTTTTACATAAAATGCAGTTTGTGCATCACTGATATACAGTTAGTATTACTTTATTTAGAGTTTCTGCATACAATCCTACAAGCATCGACTAGTTATGCACAATAAAACGATGTGCTGCTTACCAAAGGTGGTGATTAATTAATTCTGAAACCAGCTAATGAAGTATGTGCAGACACCCTGGAGACTTTTCCAGCAGTATTCCTCTGCCATCTTGGTTGCTTGACTCTCCTCTGCCACAGTGGGTCTCGCTGTGATGGTCTTTGCAGGTTTACGTGGCTTAACAGGCATGGAAACGACAGGCTTGACTGGTTTGGAGGCTGGTTTGGCTGGTTGCTGTGGTTTAGGCTGCTGCTTGTGGCTGGGAGGTTTGGTAGGGGTGATGCTGGTCTTGACCTGCTCCTGTTGCTTTTGCTGGTTCTTAGAAGCCTGGGTAGGTTTTGGAACGGAGATTTTGGGCCATGAGGCATTGAACACCATTTGGACCTCATCAGAAGCAGAGCGGCACATCTGCGGCTTGTAGACCCGTGGTCCCTGGCAGGCACTGTGGAGCTTCCTCATGTCCCACATGATCTGAGTGAAAAAGTGCCGAGGGTTGTTGTTGTATGATCTGCAGAGGTTAGGCTTGCCCAAGAAATCGCACCAGTATGATTTGCCCTTGCTCTTGCAGGAGACACGCAGCTTGGTTGAGTTGGTCTTGCCAGAGATCACCATGGTGCAGGTATCTTTAGCTTTGGTGTTGAAACGAATTGGCTCATCCCAGATGCTTCCTTTCGGCTGCGACTGTTGCTGCTGTTGGCTGTGTTGGGTGTTTTCGACGTGGTTAATGCTGTTCCCCTGGTTACTGCTGTTCTGGGCCTGAGCTTTGATGGCCCAAATGAAGCAGACCAGAAGGAGAGCAGCGCTGCATATGGCTCTCATGATGGAAGTGTAGAAGGGACTGAGCAGAAGGTGCAATGCTGGCTTTATAAATACAAGTCCTACAAAGGGGTCTTTGAGCAGGGCAGAGTGCACACATCCATCAAGACTGGGGGGCCTCTAGTCTCCAGTCTGGTGCTGCCTGAAAGAACTAATTGTAGGAATCTTTAGAGAAGTGTGTGTATATGAGAAATTTACTCTATATGGGATCAGTGTGTAAGTGGTTTCAAGAGTGTAATATATCGCCTGTAATATAATAAATGCATGATCTAGTTACTGTCTTGTACAGTATTTGCAACCTGATTTCACTACAAACGTAACTATTTTACACGGTGGCGATTACTATGAATTTTTACAATCTGAATCATATGAAAGTAAAATTAAAAAAAAGAAGAAAAAAAAAGAGTTAGCCTGAAGGTCCAACCTTACACATAACCCTCAGTCGGGTGTAAGCAGACTGTATGAAAACGTACAAAGGAGATCATACGATTTAGCCAGGAATTTGACAAAATATAAAATAATTATGAATTGCCATGAGACTGTGTAGGTATTTGTGTGTTTTAGAAGGTTTTGTGGTTCGGTTTCTTCTCTGAGTGTGTGTTGATGGTTTGAGGGAGGGACATGGGTGTGGTTAGACTCATGGAACCTTCATGGTCTTCATTATAAAATCATACATGCTAACATAAGTGGCCTATTGACTATTGATGTGAATGACATTTTAGTTTCACAAGAAGAGACAAGGAGAGTAATTCACCTGGAACCCATTTATGTTTTTGTCGACTTCACCTTCAATGTGGTTAGTGTCTGTTTTACGTGACGTACATGTGGCTATACTATAGCCTACTAGTGTGCTTTATAAGGAGTCATGGGAAATTTTTATTTTTAAACAAAGACAGTCAATGAAAATGGCTGTGTACTTACTGCAGAGATCAGCTATAGGCCTACACATTTGACATTACAAGGAAAGGGGAAAAGAAAGAAAAAGTGAGTGTCGAATGAAAGGTTTTGTGTGCACATCTTGTTTGCATCGTGACACACATCATATTTCAATACACACATGCTGTAAAATCATAACTTTTAAATGCATGTGTGTAGTTTTCTACACTTCAAATCAACTTTTTAAACAAACCAAGCAAGCCAGATATCTTTTCTGTCTACCAGAGTGATCATTTTGTAGGAATTACTTTTATATCTAAACAAAACAATATTTGACAAAATGCTACAGCCAGTCATCAGGAAAAGTAATATCGCCTCGTTAAATATTCATTCTTTGTATAACAGGAAATCATGCATATTTCAGCATCTGAGAGAAAATTTTAAATGCTGAACGGTGATGGTGAATGTCTTAACTGGGGTAAAGAGACCACATCATTCAATTCAATTATTACATTGAAACATGGACGCTTTTATAAAGAGCTTTTTTTTCAGGCCTAATAAACCTAGCAGTTGGGCCTATGAACATAGCTGTCAACCCTCCCGTTTTTTCCGGGTTTCTCACGTATTTTAGCTCTTTTCCCGCGGTCTTCCCGTTTTAGTATTTTCCCGTAAAATATCCCGTATTTTTACGCTCTGATTGTGTGAGACGTACAAGCTCGGCCAGATTCAGCTTGAAGTCGTTCATCCATTCGGATGCGGCGCCGCGCGCGCTGTTACAAAAGAAGTCGTGCACACAGGCAAGTGAAATGGGGTCTTGCCGACGGTCTTGCGCACCCAACGCGTAATTTTTGCCGCGCGCACCTCCGCGCTCGTGCGGACGCGTCGAGTAGGCTATAAACAAGGCTTTACTCCGTGTCAGGTCGCACTCTGATCGGTAAAGGTGCACAGACCTCTCCCGAATCATCTCCAGTAGGCCTACTCAGCCTCCGATCGCACCACTAACTCCGCCTCCGTTTCCCTCGTAAGATGATATTAGTATTTAAACATTCTCTATGATAAAAAATACAAATATTTTAATAACACGGTTTTGGCGGTTATAGAGTTCTAATGACGGTGTTCACTATAACCGTCTGTCTCACGGTTATTTAATAACGTCACACCCCTACACACACACTGTCTCTCTCTACCTCTCTCTCTCACACACACTGTCTCTTTCTCTCACACATAATGGAACATCAACTCTTTAGACTGTTTTAGTGTTTTAGTGCTTTTTTAAGTTTGTGGGTAAGAATCGTGTAAAAAAAAAAATCCATTATTTTGGGGATGGATCCCGGGAAATCTCCCTTATTTTCAATGTTCAATGTTGACAGCTATGCCTATGAATAACAAACTAACAATAAAGAAAAAGTATTTGTATAATTCCTAAATGTTTGTATTGAAATAGCCTACAATCATAATCTTCTTTTGAATTATGTCATTAAAAAAACCATCCAGGCATCTGTGTCATTAAACTCCGTCACTTCCGCACTCAGTGTGTACCTGTAACCATAGTGACGAAACGGAAGGTGTTATCCCACTGATCTATATAGAATGACAATGTCATTATATAGATCAGTGTGTTATCCGCGCTGATGAAAGGTTGAGGTTAGTCGAAACCTGCTTGTTCATATTCGACAGCGGAGGACATAAAAAAGCGATGGACTCAGTACTTCTACACGGAGAAGCTGAAGGATATATTCAAAGTCTGGAGAAGATGTCACTGCGTGATATCGGAAGCCCAAGGTATGTGAATATCTAATATTAAAGTAACAACAAGACAAACACGTTCACGTAACGTTAGAATACCCATGCCATCTATTACTGTTGTGTGTGTGTGTGTGTGTGTGTGTGTGTGTGTGTGTGATATATACGTAACTTACGTGTGTGTGTGTGTGTCCTGGTAACTTAAACCCCACATTATGGGGACAAAATGTCTCCACACAAATATGACAATATCCGAAATCCTTGTCCTGGTGGGAAAATGTGTTGGTCCCCATGAGGAAAACAGCTTATAAATCATACTAAGTTATGGTTTTTGAAAATGTAAAACTGCAGAAAGTTTTCTGTGATTTGTAAAAGTGGATAGAATATACAATTTGTACAGTATAAAAATCATTATGACTATGGAGAGTCCCCATAAAACATGAAAACACATGTGCATGTGTGTGTGTGTGTACAGGTGGTTTCGCCAACATGAATTCATTGAGAAGCTGAATATGCAAGCTATTCTGGATGCCAGTGCCAATCAGGAGGAATTCATAAAAGACCTCTTTGTTTCTCTTGGAAAGGTAGGCCTAATTGTTTATTGATCTTTTTTGTTGGGGAAAGTGGGTTAATGTGCCAATTTCATGTAAGCATGTACTGAGCACAATTACAAATAAATGATAAAATGGACTAGCCTGTTCATTCCTAATATTTGTATTATAATTATAAATGTATTTATAATTATTGATTTCCAAAGGATACCTTTTATAGTTATTAATAAATGGAAATAGTATTAAAAGAAATGAATGCATTTATTGATCGCATTAAATTGATCAAAAGTGACAATAAAGACATTTATATTGTTACAAAAGTAAAAACATATCTTGGTTTCCACAAATTATATAGCCGCACAACTGTTTTCAACAATGATAATAATACGACACGTTTCTTGAACACCAGTTCACCACATGGATCATGTAAAACTGAATACTGGAGTAATGGCTGCTGAAAATTCAGCTTTTTATATTAAAAATGGTAATAATATTTTAAATATTACTCTTTTTACTGTATTTTTGATCAAATAAGTGCAGCCCAGGTAAACAAGAGACTTATTTTGATAATATCAATCTTCAGTGTTTCCCCTACAATGTATTTAGCAGCGGCGCAGCGCCGCCACTGGATTTTCAGCGCCGCTGCAAAATCTTCACATGATCAGTAATATCACGACATTCACTTACACACCAAAAAACCGACACGGCGACCGCCGGTGTTCTGACTAATGCGGTGGCTCTGAATCCACTTGTTGACAAGAAAGGAGGAAAGAGCCACAAATGGAAATATTTTCGATTAGGCTAATGTCACGTTGCTAAAAGGGGCCGTTCACATAGCGCGTTTTTCTGCGCGTGCAAATTCGTTATTTCAATGCGCGGGAAGCGCGCTCGTTTTTCCAGGCCGCCTCTCCCAGATAGCAAAATTTGTCTGGCCCACCTCTGGGCCTCAACCTTGCTTCAATTCTGGCCCAGTTCTGGCTTGGTCCCCGGCCCAAAACTGGCCCAACACACTGACAACGGACTCAAACAACTTCCTCTGGCCCAGATGTGGCCCACACCCTGTAAAATGACTCTTATTTATTGATATGGCCCAGGTCTGGCGCAGGCACTGTAAAATGACTGTTATTTATTGATATGGCCCAGGTCTGGCCCAGGCACTGTAAGACGGATCTGGCTGAGAGTCGGCTGGGTCCCCGGGGCAGATGTGGCCCAGAAACTGGCAGACAGTGAAACACAAATTCAACCGTTTAAAAAGGGTTTTTATTATAAAATTAACAAATACACTTTAATACAAACATGTATTAATGAACAAAAGACACTTTATTAACATTTAACAACAAAACAATTTTTAAACAAAATAATAAGTGAATTATATTTATGATTAAAAGAAAAACATCATTCTCTTTTACACACAAACTCTCTTTCACTCTTTAACACTAAATAAATTCCTTTTGCAAATGTCAAGTCACCATTAAATATATAGCCACACTGTAAACCCTAATGCTCAAAATAATTAATTGGTTTGAGTAGGACAAACTTAAATTAAACAAATTAGTTCAGTCAAATTAACTTTTATGAGTATTTAGCACTTTCTTTTTCTTTCAAGTTCACTGAACTGATATATTTTAAGTAAACTGAACTGTTTCATTGTTTTGAGTTTTATGAAATTATTTATTTTAATTTAGACGAACTTAAGTTTAACTGAAACAGCTGGGATGTCTATTTCCCAGCATGCTTTGCCGATGGCACTCGAAAGGGAGAGTAAATGCTAAAATTAAGTGTAATATAATGTTTTTTTGTGTGTAAGATTAATGTTATGTGTGAGATTTAGTAGTGATTCATGTTTTGTTATGCTAATTTAGAAGAATTTCTGTTAATGTTGGCTTTAGGATAGTTACCATCATTGTGACAAGTGGTGCATGCAGCTTGATTTGAGAGCAAATAATCCATTTATATTGCTATGCTCATACAGCAAGTGTTTCTGTATAACATACTATTGCTAATATGTTAGCATTTACTGTGTTAGCAGATTAGCTTTTTAAAGCTAACTAAGTTTGTACTAATAAAAGTATTTTGAGTTCTGCCAACTTATTTGGGTTTAAAGTGTACTTCATAGATTTAAGTTATATTAACTGAATGGAATTAGTACTATTAACTTTATTTACCCAAGTTATCTTAACAATAAGTTATTGAGTTACTTCAACACAAATCAAATATTTTTTTAAGCTTAAATTGTTTGAGTTAATAAACTTAAATGATTTAAGGCAATCGGTTTCCTCAAACGGTTTGAGTTGAACTAACTCATCAGGTTTTACAGTGCAGCCATATACAGTAATGACTGTTTCAAAGCAGCTTTAAACAGGAAAATGATCAATGATGCAAACAGAGTTCAATTTGGCTGTAAAGCTGCTCTAAAAAGAAAAAAGTGTCATTGTTCAGTTGAATTCAACTGTGTTTATTCAGTTCTGTTCAATAACTGTATAAAGTATATCAATTATAAAAAGAGTCCATTTTCATTATTAAGCAGCTCTGCAGAAAACAGTGATGTCATCGTCCAGCTCAGTTCAGTTCTCATATAATGGTGTCAATGCAGGCAGATCAGTAGTATTAAGAATAAGTGTCCCCAACTAAGCAAGCCAGAGGCGACAGTGGCAATAACCCAAACTCCATCAGTGACAAAACGAAGAAAGAAAAACCAGGCCAGGGTTCCAGACTGCGACCATTTTTTGAGAATGTGCGAGTTAAAATGTTATGTGGTCGCATTTGTGCGAGTGGACGCTTGAGCAACAGAACGCCGTTGTATCAGCTGCTGCAGTTCGTAACTTATGTTCAAAATGAACGAGTAGGCTACATCATGAATCCATTTTCCAAACCGTGTTTTTGACTTATTCTGAATCACTAAGGTACGCCTATAATAAGTGTTTATATTCGGACTATTTTATCCCGGGGTCGTCTCGGCTGCGGAGTAGCCCAGTGCCTGCGTGACTCGCCATAGACATTAACGGAGAGAAGTTCCGTCTACAATGTTCTTCCGCAAGACACGTGCAGTTTATTTATTGACGAACGAAGACGTCACGCGCATTGCACACTGATGGTGAAACGCGCCGAATTAAGGCATATAAAAATTATAAAAATGGTCTCACGAAACACAGAGCCCCTTCCCCCTACGTCTTTTCAGCGGTTATATTTTCCTCTGTCGAGCGATTACTCTCATGATCGCTCGACAGAGGAACAGGAAATTATTATAAAATGCAGAAGGTAAGGAGTGTGAGATTTCTGCTTTTTGTTACAACTATAAACTTTGATAACGAAAAATCTGTATCAGTTTATTATAATACTCTAATCTTTTAAAATGTAATGCATACATTTGAATGTTTAATGATTTTTAAAAGATAGAAAGATGATAATAGACAGACAGACAGACAGATAGATAGATAGATAGATAGATAGATAGATAGATAGATAGATAGATAGATAGATAGATAGATAGATAGATAGAATATGATTCAAATGTAAATAGATTGTATGTAAAATGCTTAAAATTACAGATTAAAATTACTGTCCAAAATCCATGAAAATCCTGAAATTTGGCAATGATAATTAATATAGATGTTATTCGATCTGCGTCATCAATGTTTGCGGCGGCCATATTGTTGACATAGAAACCACGGCAACTGTCAGTCTGTCAATTGACAAGCGAGGCAGCGTCGTATTATCCATGGTATTATCACTGTCAAATATCCGGATAAGTTACGGCTGGCAATACGGACGGATCTTTACTTAAGCTTGATTGGTGTGGACCCACATCAAATAATAGCATTATCTTCTCTTGATACCGACGAGATGAAGCCAGGCTACTGCTCCCCTCAACTCAAATCTGCGCGCGGTTAGGGGCAGCAGGACAGATGTCATGTCAACAATATGGCCGCGGTTAGCTACTTCCGGTGTTTGCGAATAAGGTCTATATTACAGGTATTTCTGCTGCAACCCAGAAAGCCTTTGCTAGCCTTGGTCCATTAAAACCACTATTCATCAGCATGCATTGATTAATCCCATGGCATGTAGCAAAAAAAAAAGAAAAAAAGGTGCGACCAAATCATATGCTGGTGCGACCAACTGAGAAAGTTGTTAGCACCAGTGCAACCAGTGGAAAAGTTAGTCTGGAGCCCTGCAGGCTCAGTCGGGGGGCCAGTTCTCCTCTGGCCAAACAACGAGCATGGTGTGTCTTAGGATTCAGGCTGCTTCACAAGTCAGATTGTGGATTGATATCATTCAGAGTATTTTATTCAGCTCCTTTTGCTTGAAGATTGGAAAAGATTGCACCAAGGTAAAAGAGTAGCAAAACTCGAGAGCATGTAGATGTGAATTTGAGAATTTGTACAATAAATATTTGTACTTGTACAATAAAATTTACACTCACAGCTCTAATGTAAAAACCTCCAATGTGAAAACCCTGTATTAGGCATTTGCAACTTCTCAAATCTGCCATTGCAATTTTTTTAATTGCCCCGCCTTTCTCTCACTGCCACTCAGTTTGCAAATGCACAAGTTAGTTACGCATCTAATATATTGCGAAAATAGTTGCAAAGTCAATGCGTGAAGATTTGAAATAGCAATGGCAGATTTGAAAAGTTGCAAATGCCTAATTGAGGTTGTACTGCGAATGTGAATGAAAGAATACAAGTTTGTGTCTGTCATTGGCATTTTACACATTTGTGACTACTTGTCTGCAGCTTCAAATTCAGAATACAGGTTTGTGACTATTGTCTGCGAGTGAAAATCTCAACATTCAACAGGTTTTCAAGTGCAAATAATTATTGTACAAGTTCTTAAATTCACATCTATGTTCTCCAGTTTTGCTCCTCCTTTACCTTCATAAGATCACGCCGGCGTCGGTGAGAGGGGAGTTGAAGCTGGCCGTTGGGTCTGTGTGGAGAACTGGTCTGTTTCTCGTGGATCTGATTCGATGACTGTGCCGAGGACTGCTGTGTCAACGAGGTCCTCACAGACGTTTGTTTCTAGGTCTTGTCTAGTTGTGATGTTCTCGTCTGGCGTTCAGGCTGTTGTGGTCATCTTAGGGTGGAGGTCCACCATCTGGTCTGGATGCAGACTAGATCCGGCTGACAACAGTAGCCTAACCTTGGGATAAGATAAGAATGAGACAGAGAGACTAACATTAGCATAGATGCCATTCGTTTTACGATGTAACAAGTACATTTGGTGTAAGCTACCTTACCGGATGTGAATTATAGAAATGTGGGAGTGTGTTATGTTTATGGTTAAAGAGTTGTGTTTTTAATAGATTTAAACTTATCTTGTGTCTGCCCCTGGATCTGCTGCCAGTTCATGGATCCCTCGATCTCCTTTTCAGCAACATTAGCCATGAAAGGGTTTCTCTGAACTGCATCTTTTAAATAAAGGAATAGATATTGTGAAGTCAAAAAAATTCAATCTTAAGCATTAGTTTAAGCACATAGGTTAGACAAATGCTGTTGCCAGAGTTCATGCAGCAGTTTAAAATATTGGTAACACTTTAATAAGGTCTCATTTGTTAAAATTAGGCTAGTTAATGTGTTAACTACAGTAACATTAACATTGACCAATACATTTGTTACAGTATTTATTCATCTTTGTTAACATTAGTTAATAAAAATACAACTGTTCACTTTTGATTTAATAAATGTATTAGTAAATGTCAAAATGAAAATTAACTAAGATGAATCAATGCTTAAGTATTGTGCATTCTTAATCCATGTTAACTAATGTAGTTAACTTATATTAATTAATGAAACCTTATTGTAGCAGTGTTACCAAAATATCTGTAAAAAGTGTTGGTGTACGATTCCAAACAGTGCGTTCAGATGAAACTTCAGTTTATGTTCGCTTATAGTCATAGTAACGTTATCATGCCCAATGCAAAAAAAAATGTTAAGAGAACTACCATTTTAATAACAGTATACAGAGATATACGCTTCATGGTTGCATAGCAACGACAGACACCACGGGAGAGCAAGCGCTTTTGGAAAGGAGAAAGCGGCGCTCTCCATGAGGACGAGGAAGTATTAGCAAAGAATTAATTGATTTCTAGCCCTTGCATTAGCTTTACTACTAGATATATTTATGGAGATGAGAAATAAAAAGCCGCCCTGTACAGCTATGATCAGCTGTTCGGCCGAGCTTTCGATGCTATTACGGAAAGGCCGAAGCTGATCGGTTGGTTTTTGTCACGATGTTTTCATCTCGCCACGCGCGTCTAGAATTGAAATAACGAATTTGCGCGCAAAAAACGTGATATGTGAACGGCCCCTAAAGTGGACTCGGGTGCGGTTGTATCGGGGTAGTTTTACGAGTAGGAGTACATGAGCACAGTATCGGACCGACACCCGAGTACTGTTTATGCTGTTTATTAGTCCATCAGAAAAGCAGTTCTAGGCTTATTCTTGGCTGGATAACTCTTATAGCAGGGTTAAAAAGCCTTTTAAAATTAAATATGAACACAGTTTTGGATTAAATAAAAGTACAGTCAAGTCAAATAAAACACGTTTAATCTCCTGTATTGTTGTATCTAACATCAACACATTGAGTGAACAATATATTTTTACAACATGAATTAATGTTTGTGAATGTTATTTAATACAAACACTTGATTGTTCATGTTTGTTCACTTCATTCATTTTGCATTAAATAATGTTAACATAAAACTTTTGATTTTAAAAATGTTAGAAAAATTAAGTGCTCACAGATTGGGTGTGGCCTTTGCCATTAAGATAAAATTTTCAATAAATTCTAAATAATCTTTTTCTGGGTTGTGCCATTTCATTTCCCCCCTATCAATATCTACCTTATAGCTGAAAATTAACACAAAACAAAAACGTGAAAAATCCTGTCTAAAATTATAAAAATGAAGATTTCTGTTTGTGACCAGTTCAAGCTACGTGCTGCAATAATCATGCCTTGAATCTGTTGATGGTATGTCATATTTGTATGTCTCAAAATGTCCATTTCTATCCACAAAACTTGCCAAAAGTCATGGTTTAAGGGGTTATTTAAAAAAAAAAATTCTTCCGGAGGTACATGCCCCCGGACCCCCGCGCGCGACTTGGTAACATCCTCCGGCACGTGACAGCACCGCTGCTGGAAAAATTTCTAGGGGAAACACTGATCTTACAATCAAAATTATGAATGGTAATAAATTTGTGTGTGTGTGTGTTTGCTCAATCATCACTTCATCATTGATCAACTTTCCCACTGGCACATCTTATCATACCCCCACGTAAATATTTTGAAAAAGCTGATATTTTTTTTGCATACACCGATGAAAACATGTAAATGACTTTTTCCAGATACCCACACTGATACATGCAATGATACTTACAGAAGTCTGGAAACATAAAGTGTTTCCCATAATTTGCAAACTCCAGGACTTTAATCCAAAGAGTACGTTTCTGCTCTATATGGTGGTAAGTGGATTCAGCTTGAAATGACCTAGTTTTCAAAACCATGCCAGGCTCTTGTTTAAATACATTTTCTTCTACTCTCTGTGGGTCATTGCATTTTCCCCTAATTTCAGATTCACCATGAAGCTACCACTATAAACCTGCTGGAGACAATTATGTACCACAAGGTAAGCATATATATACTGAGAAAACAGGTTTTTATATATCTGGATTTGTAATTTTGTAAAAAAATAAATAAAAATAGATGACCTAGAAACTTAAGACCACATTATGATATGGTAGTAATATGAGAATGCATAAATGTTGATGTGTGTTACACGTGCAGGAGTCCAGTGAAGCTGCTGATGATAGTGTACTTGATTTAGTCGATTACTGTCATCGCAAACTCACACTTCTGGCAGGACGTTCTGTCTCTGGAGAGATCCCAACTGAGGACCGAATTACACACACACAGCTGTTAGACACAGGATCTGTGCAGGTAAAGAACACTTAAGGCCCATTCACACCAAGGATGATAACTATAAAGATATTGTTCTAAAAATCCTTCTAAATATAAAAGAATAGCAGAGTTCATACCACGATAACGGCACTGAGGAACAATATCGCTGGAATCACTTTCAGAACCATTTTCTTTCCAGCTGATGAACGATAAAAACAATGACAGCCAATCAGAATCCATCCTGCTTAGCTTAAGTGGTGGATGACTAAATTGGAGCGTGCGCGCTTAGAATAAACAGAACATTATCGTCCGCTGATGTGGTAGCTAATATAGTTATCGTTATAGTTTTTGTTCTTGGTGTAAACAGGCCTTTACTCTTGAAAGTTAAATGTAGCTGTTATGTTTTTACCAAAACATGCATCTAACGTTCTGAGCATTACAGCAAATGTTCATTTATTACTCATTATCAAAAGCCTAATTCGCATTAGATTTACCAGAACTTGTTTGTTGCAGGATCTGCAAAGACAAAGTGACATGTTAGAGTTTGAAATCTCTATCAAGGCTCTGTCAGTACTGTGCTACATCACCGATCACATTGAGAGGTATTACAACTACTGGTTATTTAAAGAGACGTTATTGAACATTTTACAGAAAACAAATGATAAAAAGTGTACATTTTAAAAACAAATAAATTATAAAATATATTTACAGTTTAAATACATATGTTTACTAATGGATGCTGAAATTTCCCCTTCTAATGTAGTTTGAGTTTGAGTGTGCTGTCGAGGATGCTGTGCACTCATAATATGCCCTGTGTGCTGGTTCAGTTGGTGGAAAATTGCCCCTGGAACAGAGGTTCGTGTGTTTTAAACATGTATAATCATATATTTATTTTCTTTTTCATTCAAGAACCTCACACAATCAGAATACATAGGAATCAAATTATAGAACACCAGCAATTGACCCAATATTAAGCTCTGCCCCCTTTGTGCTCACTCAGGCAAGCTTTACACATTGGGTCTCATTCATGAAACACGAGCAGAACGAATTTTTGTGTAAATCGTGTGTAAAGTGGTTCTGGCGTAAATTTTCGGATTCATTCAAATGTTTGTATTTTCCAAATGTTAGTTGGTACACAAGAAATCTACACCTGCTCCCAGCCACGCGTAAATAGTGCGCTTAACACCCGAACGTTTTGCTCATTAATAAGGCTGCATTTTAATTCACCTTAATCGGGTACATATTTGCACAGCATTTTGAAAAAATATTATATATAGTAATTACATACGGTTTTTCTTATTATGAGAGCCAGTAATAGCATCTGCGATGGTGGTCCTTCTCCAGTTTGAATACTATTTTTCCGAAGTGAACTAATTCGTTTTTTGCTCTCAAGCTTAATGTCGAACCATTTTCTTCTCACTTCTGGGAATGTTCGATTAACAGATGAAACTCCATTAACTGCATCTGTAATATGCTGCCAAGCTTCCTTTTTTTTAGGAACCGATACGCCACTATGTACGCTTGAAAATAAAATGTGGCGTTTTGAACGAACTTCTGATAATAAAACTTCAATTTCTGCATCTGAGAATTTTTTTTTTTCATTCGCATTCATGTCATAATATGATGCCCATATATAGTTGTCAGTTGGATTTAATGGGCGGGATTTATGGTAATTCGCCTTTGGCTAAGCCACACCCTAGAATGTAGATTGACCAATCACAGCGCAGCCAAGACTGAGCTCCCACAGAGGTCCGACACTTTTTCACAGCGCTCCATTGACTTTAACACAGGCGTCTCATATTTTTGGTCTCGGCAGGCTATTACCGTCGTAGTTTTATCAAAAATATGGTTACACGTTGTTCCTGGGGCATTTGTAACACAGATACGCGTTTCCCAGAGAGGTTGGAGGGGGTGTCTGTTTTTTTCCCTTCCCAAACTGAAGTCAAATCCTGACAAGTGTCGCCTAGCTCACGCTGCTAATAAAAACAACGTTATACTCGCGTAGTCCGTTTGCTTTGTAATAACGATTATAGAAGTGAATAGAGACCTACCCAGCTTTGCACGAACAGTGTTGCTCCTTGATATTGTTAGTCCCAGCCTCCGTCTCGATTAGTAGGATATGAGGTGGTTCATTTTTTGACTGTGACCGGTATGCTTTTACCTCTATTTGGATGCCTTGTTGTTCCTTGCGTTTCACCTGTATGTCGTGAATATAGCCTTCGAACGTATATTGCAGCCCCCCTTTGCCTACTTCTATCGGACACTTTATTTGCTGCTTTATAAAAGTTTGATAAAATTTCAGCTGGAAGAGCTGTCACAGCATAAGCCATGTTGATACCAGAGCCCAGATGAAGTTTGTTTGTCGGACGTAGCAACAGTAACTAAGGGGGGCGGGGGTTAGCCAAAGGCGAATTGAGAATGAACGTGCACGCGCATCCCATTTACGACTGATTGGAATTCATTAACACACACACACATTTCACTATCACATCTGACGTTTACGAAGTATTTGTGAATCAGGAGAAGAGTTTTCGGGAAGGTCTCTTTACGCGCAAATCACTCGCATATTTACTCGTATATTTACGAATGTTTCATGAATGAGACCCATTGTCACATAGGAATGAATCAAATAGTTTCATGAGCTGCACATTTTTCAGGAAAAGTGCTCATAAAGTGGGACAAAATTGAATTGAGAAAAATCATATGCAGTTATAGGCTGGAATTACTGTCTGCTTAAATCTATCCAAACACTTCTATAGATTTACATTATAAAAGATTTTTCGCAATTCTGAATTTCTTGCAATTCCAGGTTTATAACTTGAAATTCTAACTTTTTTCTTGCAATTGTAAGTTTATATCTAGCAATTCTGACTTTATTTCTCGCAATAACAAGTTAATATCTTGCAATTGAGAGTAAAAAAAGTCAAATTGTGAGATGAAAGTCACAATTACCTTTTTATTTTGTATTCCATTGTGGAAACAAGCTTCCACACTTGTCTGATAATATGACGGACAGCAATAGTTCACCCAAAAAGGAAAATTATCCCATAATTTACTCACCCTCAAGCCATCCTAGGTCGGTATGACTTTCTTCTTTCAGCCAAACACAATTGGTGTTTTATTAAATAAAATCCTGCATTAAATGGCATTAATTAGATACGCTTTTTAGAGCTTCAAAAACATAGGCACTACTATTCAATTGCATTACAAAGCTGGGAAGGATATTATTTAATATAACTCCGTTTGTGTTCGGCTGAAAGAAGAAAGTCATATACACCCAGGGTGGCTTGAGGGTAAAATAATGTTCATTTTTGGGTGAAGGTAGAATTGGCAGGTACAATTTTTTTTACTGCATAGTCTTTTTCTCCCATGTAGGTACTCTGGAGAAATACACAGAGGGGAGGTGGAGGCCCGTCCTGCCTGAAGATCAGCTAAAGTTAAATAAACATGATGGCCAGGTGTGGATGGCTTTACTGAACCTGATACTCAAACCAGACTGCCAAAGAAAATATAATTTCAATAGCTTTAACAAAGCACAACTTTTAAAGGTAAGACTTTACATAGTTGGGCAAATATCATTGCTGGCAGAGCCATTATAGTGTTCCTGTTGTGTTTTAAATAGATGTATACAAACATACCTGCATATTGAGACAATACCAGTTGAATAATATATTTATGAAACACAAAATATCGAAAGAAGACGCAATTATCCCACTTTATTCCATGCTGAATTATACATTTTCTCATAGCCTTTTTAAAAGTCTCTGGATATGTATGTGTTCATTGACACCATATATGTTTTATTTAATGCCAGTTATCTATCTTTATGCTTCTTTATATTCCTCTGTGTGCAGCTTTGTGGGTTTTTGACAGAGGTTGTGATAGATCAGTTACCAAACCTCCTTGATCTCAAGCAATTCCTCAGTCAACTTGCTGTCACAGATCCAGTGGCCCCCAAAAATGATCTAATCCTGGAACAGGTACTCCAGCAAATGCACACACATACAGATTACACGTTTGGGGTCAGTAATATTTGTTTAAAATAAATTAATACTTTTATTCAGCAAAGATTCATTAAATTGTTCAAAATTGACAGATATTTACATTACGATGTAAATTCTATTTCATATAAATGCTGTTCTTTTGAACTTTCTATTCTATTTCAAAGAATCCTGAAAAAGATGCAGGGCTGTTTTCAACATTGATAATAATGAGAAATGTTTCTTGACCACCAAATCAGCATATTAGAATAATTTCTGAAGGCTGAAGTTATGACTGCTGAATATTCAGCTTTGCCATCAAAGGAATAGAATACATTTTAAATATATAATGGAAACGAGCTATTTTAAATAGTAATTATATGTCACAATATTACTGTTTTTACTTTATTTTGATCAAATAAATGCAGCCTTGGTGAGCATAGCAGACTTCTTTCAAACTCATAAAAAAATATCACCGACCCTAACTTTTGAACAGTAGATGGTAACATGTCCATTTGGTCACATAAGACAAAATTAACAAAAACAAAACACCTTTCTCATTCATGTAGGTGCCAGAGATATGGAATAATATTGTAATGGAGAACAGCAACAAGTGGAAAGCCATAGCTAAATTCCAAGTGACGCATGTTTTTAACCCCTCTGAAAGTGAATTAAGAGAACAAGCTAGCAGGTGAGAATTGATGTGTATCTGGAAATTTCTATTGTAAGGGATGAGAAGATGAGGTGCAGTTATAAAATGTTAGTCTAACAGTATGCGTATATTCTGTATAAATACCAAGTTCTGTCATGAAACTGATGGGTCCTTAATACAACCTGATGACATTTACATTGTTTACTACACTTATGTGCCTTTGCACATTCTGATTGTTTCCTGTTGCATCTGTAGCCAATGAGCTTGGTGTTCAACAATTCAATAGCTGGTTAGCGTTTAGCAGTCTGCAGCATGATTCAGAATTCCCATTCAGTCAGTCACTATGCGTTACGTCAGTGAATGACGAATTGGGATCGTGCCTGAGAGTTCTATCACCTTCGGGTGTTAACATCTGGACAGGACCTCGTTGCAGTGGCATATCAATTGCCTCGAGTTGCTAGCCGTTCTAACACCCACCCACCCCCGCTGATTTGGAGGTGCTTCGGAACAGCTCAGGTAGACCTGTTTGCTGCTCCGGACACGTGCCACTGCCATTTGTTCTATTCCCGACCGATGGGATTCTCGGCATGGTTGCACTGGCACACAGCTGGCACAGCTGGCCCCGGGGCCTACGCAAGTATGCTTGGAAGTGGAACCTGTTCATTGAATGGTGTTCTTCTCACCAAGAAGACCCCCGTAAATGCCCGATCAGAGTCTTTCTTTACTTTCTGCAAGAGGGGTTGGAGCGAAGGCTTTCTCCCTCCACCCTGAAAGTGTATGTTGGCGCCATCGCCGCACATCACAATGCAGTAGAAGGTAAGTCTGTGGGAAAACACGACCTGGTTATCAGGTTCCTGAGGGGTGCGAGGAGGTTGAATCCTCCTCAACTTCGCCGTATTCCCTCTTGGGACCTCTCTGTAGAGAGCACCCTTTGAGCCTTTGCAGTCATTTGAGATTTAAGATCCTGCGAGTTCTCTGTGTAAAGCCCTATCCTTCTTCGCCCCAGTTGTGCGGGGGGATCAGTTGACTTATACGGGGCACTGGAAGGCGCAGTGATTGTGGCGTTTTTCTTAGGGATCCTAATTCATCAGTCACTGACATAACGCACAGTGACTGACTGAATGGGAACATCTAGGTTACCTACTGAATGAGGGAACGGAGACGTTACGTCCTGTCGCCACAATTGAGCGACCGGGCACTGCTCGGCTCCTCAACGAAAACTTAGTGAGTGACACTCTGCACACTTCCTATATACCTGCAGCATGGGGCGTGGTTCGCGATGCAAATCTCACTCGCCAATGTCCATTGGCTATTTCTGTTTACACTCTAATTATTGGCGCGATCTCAATTCGTTAGTCACTGACGTTAACATTGTCATATCCATTACCATGCTAAAAATCTTTTGAGAGTTGTCATGGTAGAACTGTTTATCTGCGCCCTTCTAATTAGATTGTCTCAAACATATAATCTGGATGTGATGGAGAATCTAATCCCAGACAAACCCAAGTGTGGAGCCTGTGGAAGAATGGGTGCAAAACGCTGCTCCCGCTGTCAGGGAGAGTGGTATTGCAACAGGTAAAGCAACACATGTTGGTTTTCTGACTAAATTGATTCAGGTTTTTTTTTTTTTTTTTTTTTACCCCTTTATGTTACTAATCAATTCTTTACTATACTAATGTCCTTAATTTATAAACTAGATGAATACCAGGGTAATAAATTATAATTACCCTTTCATGTTTTGTCTTTGTCTGTATTTGTTCAGGATTATATGGTTGTTAATTCTATTTGTCTGGTATTTCTCTGTAGAGAGTGTCAGGTGAAACACTGGCCCAAGCACAAGCCTGCATGCAAACTCATGGAAGAGGCCACACAAAGACTGCAAGAGGAACTGAACATCAGCAGCTGAATTATAGCACCGCTAAATGAAAGGGATGGTGAGAGTGATGCTGTGGGATTCAGAAGTGCATAAGAACACATCCACTATGAACTGTCATATTTAATGGACACTAATGGAAACTGTTCCTGACAGTCATCTTTCATTAGCTATTCTATGTTTGTGTATTGGGTTGAAAAAGAGTAAATAGATAATTCCTGATGAAAGCTTTCATATGTATACATATTCTTTGTAAATGCATGGTCATAAAACTATTTTTTGCACACATTGTTAAAATGATTGATTGATAACTGTTACAATATAACCATTATTCTCACATGTTGTTATTAAATGAACTGAATTAACTGCTAAAACACATTTGAGATCCGATCAGTTTGATTTTTACTGACACAACTTTATTGCATTTGTTGTAAAGGACTTTATTTTGTGGAACACAAAAAGAAGAAACTTTGAACAATTTCCTTGCCACTTTTTTCATGCAGCTACAATGAATGTTGTCTGGAGCTTTTAAGCATACATTAGTCCTTTCTTAAAATGGATGCAAAAGCACAATACAGGATCGGTTATTATATTTGTACCTTTTACAAAGCACACCACAAACCATTTTAAGCTGATAGTTTTATTGTAACTTTCACACAGCCTCCATGTTAAAGTGGGATCCCACGTTACCCTGTCATGTCACACTGTAAAAAACAAAACACTTGGTTCAAGTGCATGTGAGTCTCAAAAAATGGGTGACAACAAGACCTTGGAAATCTATACTTTACCACTTCCAAAGAACAAAGGACATGAGAGAGACGTTAGGGTTTGTGAAAATCAGTAATAGATGTAACAGATTTGGAACTTTACAGTTTGAATTCGGAATATAAGAAAAAATATTTGGTTTGTACAATAGAGCACTATGTAGAATTGTATGACCACTGTATGCTGTACCGACACATGCATTTTACGAAATAGCACACACTGGACATTTAAAACTATTTTCATTATTTTGATGTGGACACACAAAAATATGTAAGACACTCAAAAGAAGAAAACAGAAATACAACAGAAACACAAAATCTTTACTCAAGATTAATGGATCTATAATAGCCATTTGTTTTGGTTATACTATTTTAAGGTGTCCTTGTTACAGTGTGATTTAGTACTGTATTTAAATAGTTTATTTAAGTACTAAGTAATAATAATTAACAATATGTACTTACTATAGGGTTAAGGTTCAGAGTAGGATTGGGTTTATGGTTAGCTGCATGTAATTATGCATAATTTACTGTTATTATTACTACAGTAAGTACATGCAACGTGTAACAAGGACACAGAAATAAAGATTTGCCTTTGTTTTTAGTTGTGTAGTTGTCTTGTATCAAAAGTACTGACATTTCAAACAAACAGGATCAATCAGTCTTTTAGGACATTGGCTTCCGATAATTTATCTTTATAGACATTGAGTCTTTTCCAGTGCATTTAACATTCTTTTAGCAAATTGTTTTTCTTCTACTAAGAAACAATTCTCAAACTAATACTTGATTCATTCATTGAACAATAAAATGTAGAAAAAAAATAACTTTCACAAAAGACCAGAAAAGATAACTTGATAAATGAAGTACTTCTGGATGTTTGGTTCAGAAAAACCATTTCATGGTTTCATAATCAAGAACCATCGATACAATATCACAGTGCACAGACTGATATCACAGACCTTTTTTGCCCCTTTATATCGCCTTAAATGTTAAAAAGACCTGTACAAAATCTAGATGTACCCACAATTATGTCTAAAGGAGTTTTATAAAATAAGATATTAACAAAATACATACAAAACTTTCAAAAACCTATTGAAAGTGTAAAAAAAGAACATGTTGCTGTTTACCATGTATGATGAATTGTATGTAGAATATGCTTGAGTATATTCTTCAGTTAAGGTCTGAGTATGTTTTATTGTTAGAACCCGGAATAAACATTTTCCCTTTTTTCCTGTCTTCATTGTCTTCCTCAGAATCTGACAAAGACAATCCCTGACAACAAAAAAACAAAACAAATATAAATTTAGACTTTAAAAATACATTCAAGCTAGCCTGGTTAAAACCAGACCATTCACAGTTGTAACTGAGTTATGGTCTGGCAAAGCGTCATAGACAAATCATTTCCAGAGGGGTGTCACCAACGGACGTCGCGGATAGACCTAAAACCAATCGGAGCGATGAAGGAGATGGCGTATGCAGAGCGGCGGAGAAACATTGCTGTGTCCGAAATCTCCCACTACTCACTATATAGTGGACTATATAGTGAGCTCGCCATTTTGTAGTGCTGTCTGAATGTATAGTGATGATTATTATACCCTATATAGTCCACTCAATGTATCCCAGAATGCATTTTGAAAAGTAGTGTACAACCGTTGGTCACTAACCCAAGCCCTACATACCATCATGCATTGCGCTGATCGTAAAAGACCTATCAGCATCATCTTCATCTTTAACTTACAATTTGACAACGTCTCACTAGCGTAGCAAGAACAGCACGTCGTTTTCTGTGTCTAGAAATCCTGCTTCTTTTGCTAATCCGCAAAATCTTCTGAATCACGAGAACAAACAAACAAAAAAGATAAATATTGAGTGGCATCTCCACAGAGTCTAAAAGCTGTTTTATTAAGAGTATTATGAGCAAGATATTTGATAACGTAGATCTGTTTTTTTTTCCTAATGTCAACAGGCAAGAGAAAACAGTGTGGCGCGAAAATGAAAATATATGAAATATGTGTATTAATTTTATTTATGTTTATAAGTTAGAATCATGTGTGGAGTAACGCATTATAGACCAATTTTCAGTTGGTAAACATGGTGACGTTTTTATGTGGGCGGAGCTTAGGTGGTGGCAGAACGATCCCTCTGGCCGCTTCACTAACGTAAAGTCTGCAAGTTTTGTTAGCTTGTTTTTAACAATGGCTGGAGAAAATCCGATTTTATCTTAATGTGCAAGGTCACTCACTGTCCAGGACCGCGATTGTTATTTGCAAAAGTTAATTTTAACGGACGGAACCAGATTGGCTGACCCGTACACTCATTGAGGATCTGACAGGATTAACGTTAACGCTACCTCCGGTTGAGTGGCCTGACATCTACACCAACCTGATAGAGAAACGGAGGGCATATAAATCTTTAGATGCCTATAACTATGTGCTGAATGGTGATGTGCAAGACGTTCTGCAGTTCTGCCTAGCCAGCGCCATGAAGACGACAATGTAAAGAGTGACATTACGGTGCAATTTTAATGAGGTGAATATTTTCTAGAAATAAAACATTGCAAATAAAGCATATTAATGTTTCATTGATTCTTGCACCCAACAACACAACAAGATGACATTTAATAATAATAAGAATAATTTAAGATCCTTATTTTGTAGCCGAATCTGTGCTGGTTTGTATTCACCGCCTCCAGTTTTCCCTTTGTTCTGCCACCAGCTAGCACTGTGACGTAACTGTGACGTCGGCTGGAAATTGGTCTATAACAGAAACGGCCAGAAATGACTTTTAATTTTACAATTTTGGAGAAATAAGCTCAATATAATGTAATGTATTTATAAAAAAAAAATCTATTTAGCCCAGAGCTGGCTCGGCACCAGCTGACAGATGATGGCGCGTTTAAATAGTGCGACAGTAATGACGTAATCAACGGCGCCGAGAGACGATCGAGTAGTGTCCGAAAGTGGTGTTTCTATTATGCTGGTGATCTCACTATATAGTGCTCTACTCCCTACCCCCTACATAGGGGTTAGGGAGTAGTGGTTTGAGTGGAGATTTCGGACACAGCCATTGTGAAACACTCCGAGTCTTGTTCTTTGCAAAAAGGAAACGTTCAAATCGCTTAAAACAGACGCGCTAGCTGATTCGAACGAGTGATGTTCGACGGCGGCATCAATCTTTGTAATGTAGGCTACAAAATCTGCTTCAAAATCCCAGCGCTGTCGTCATCGTGTAAAGCCCGCCCCAACGTTTCTGATTGGTGCCTCGATTTCGACGGATTGGAAATGGGCTTGAATGAGCTCTTTGCCAGACTAACTTTCAGAGGAAATCTAAATTTGCTGGAAGTTGTCTGGGTTTTCCCAGGCTACATTCAAGCCTTAAAAGCTTGAGATACTGTAACATGCAACAGAATATGAGTGTCTTACCTTGCTTAACTCTATTTAGCTCCAGTTCTCACCACCACTGTAAAAGAAAAAGAAGATAAATTCACTAAGACTCCACAAAAATGACAGTACTTCCAGTTACTTCATTTATTCAAAGATGAAGAGTCAGGTAAAAACGTATCAAAGGTGGAGGAGTGACAGGAAGTCATGCAATGCTGCATAAACAGAGTGACGTGTTACTGGAAGAACATGTGGAGGATCAGTGACAACATAAATGATTTCGGTGAAACAGGAATGTGTCACACCAGTGGCAGAACAGAGTCCGCAAGTAGCTTTATGAATCATGCGCACGACTGTAGAACATGGAATATTTGTGAATTCTTGATGGTTACAAATATGTGTGACAGAGAAAAGTGGAAAGATGGAAAGAAGGAATGAATGAGCACAAAGTGAGAAAAATTCCAGTTCAGACATCAGCAGTAAAAGAAGCAGAATCAACAAGAGGAACACTGACATGAATGAATGTGTTTGTTTGATAGAGGATATGTATGGATATGATGCAAAGGTAGAAAAAATAATGGACGAACAGATAAACTGTTGAAAGGTTTTGTACCTGTAGGTTTTGTACGGTTGCATACCCCCGGTGAAAGTGTGTATGTGTGTGTAAATTTGTGTCACCAGTCAGGCTGTCTCGGGGGGGCAGAGGCCCGAGGATACCACCTCATTGTGTCATAGGATGGATAGCTGAAAAAAATACAGGTTCGTTTTGAATAAACCTTTTGAGTTTTGAAATTTTGGAATGGCAGTAAAAATTGATCAGATCTAAAAAAAATATATGGTCTTTAGTTTAGCTTCAAAAAAAGCACAGAAAACTGTCATGCAGAGTATGGCTGCGTCCGAAACCTATAAATGCTGCCTTCGGAGGATGCATTGCAAGGAAGGAAGGCATCAAGGCATGTTAGAATCCAATATTAGCTGAGAAACCTTCATCTGATCGATTTTTAAAGGCAGCATAGATGTATAGTTTGCTTTCTTTGATATCCCACAATCCTGTGTTCCATCTGTGACAGTTGAGCTAAAAAAGAAAGATGGCGTCTGAAAGTTGCGGTTGGTCATCAGTTTGTGTTTTTGACCAACGTTTTTTTGACCAATGGTTTTTGACCAACGGTTTCCACTTCTGATGTCATTTCAAGTGAGAAATTACAATTGTAGTAATAAAATATTTTTCTTAGTTTTCAACAAAGCTCGCTCTATTTTGCAGTAGATCATTAAACGATCATTAAAGTCTGTCCGAAATCAAACAAAGTTATTGCCTGATAGGGCAGTGAGGCTACAAGTCAGCTGAGTAAGTTTTCGGACGCAGCCGATACATATGGATAGAGATGCATGTTGAGAAACGGATGTCATGCTATTACACTGTTCAATATTTGCATTTCATAAATAATTTTTAAAAAATGATTAATTTTGTATGTATGAAATGTGTTTTTGATTGATTTAGTAAGATTTCATAATGAATTATAACAGATCAATCAAAACAAGTAGGGATCCACCAACATAAAAACTATGCTGATAGTTACACGACATCTATTGTTCTTGCGTTTGCCAATGAAACAATATGATTATACTATGCTATTTTGTGTTTTTTTTGTAATTTAACACAAATGTTAATGCCAAGTATGGTGTTATAAATATACATTCAATTTAAAACGGAACGTTTTAAATATAAAAGAAAACGTTGCAAGATTTACAATGTTAATAGTCATAGAAGTCCATCATAGTCAAGTGAAAAGGGTCCATACAGCACATGCTCATAAAAATGTCCATGCACACAATTGATTACTATAGACATTTAACTACGACTGATGATTTCAGCATGCATAGAGATGAAGAGGTGGAATAAACTCTACCTGCTCATCACGGGGTTGTTTATGGCATATAAAGGCTCACTATGATAACCACTGACAACATCCACACTACTGTAAAACAGTGAATGTAAAAGTAAACATCAACTGCTTGTAAAACTAACATGAGATGTATGAATGAAAGTGAACAGTTCACAGAGTGAAAAAAATATATAGAAAGATAGTATTGAAGGTTTCATATGTGCAATGATAAGAAGAAAAGTAAAAAAAATTGAAAAGTTGAGATAGATGAAAAGATGAGAAAATAGAAAGAAGAAGTGGTTGGTTATCAGAACGTGAACAAAAGGAGAATATGGAAATGAAGAGTGGAAGCTGAGGAAGAGACATAAGATGACTCTAAAAGAAGGAAACAAGGTTGTTTCAAACACCTGTGGAGTGAAAGTCATTCTTGAATCTTGGTAAAAGATTTTCAGTTTAGTTTCTTTTAGAAAAAGCTTGATCCGCTTTATAAGGCCATCTTTCACTTCACATATAACAGGTAGATGGACCTAAATTCAGCAATTATAAACTCACTCATCATAGACGTCCTCAGTGTCCATCCTGCGGTAGAATTTGGCAAGTTTTACCGACATGATAATGCTGGGAATGAGTAACATACAGCATCCTCCCAGACCAAACCAGAATGTGTTCTGAAACACACAAATGCACAAGAGAACACATTAGCTTAAATGTCCATAAACAGCTCATATAAATGCTTCTTTAAACACATATATAAAAAGTGTCCTCATATGTTTTAATTTAAAATATGAAAAAGGAATATGTGACGACCGTACATACACTAGTTCATTCAAAAGTCTGAGGTCAGTAAGATTTTTTTAAAAGAAATATTCGTCAAGGATGCATTAAATTGATCAGAAGTGACAGTAGAGACATTACAAAAGATTTCTATTTTAAATTAATGCTGTTCTTTTAAACTTTCTATTCATCAAATAATGACGAAAAGTCACAGTTTCGACAAAAATATTGAGCACAAAAAAAGCATATTAGGATGAAAATTCAGCTTTGTCATCACACAAATAAGTTACATTTTAAAATGTATTAAAATAGAAAACAGTCTTTTTAAATTGTAATAATATTTCACAATATTACTGTTTTTACTGTATGCTTAATCAAATAAAGCAGCCTTGGTGAGAATAAGGAACTTCTTTCAAAAATATTAAAAGGACTGTTTACATAATCAGTGCTTTTTCTATCCTCATCTAATGCTCATCTTGTTGTGGAGGTGTGATAAATCTCTCTGTTAAATGGATTGACCCAGTCTGCAGGGATGTTCTGAGTATAGTAGTAAACAACAACAACATTGTACAACATAAATCCCAACAACTTACCATAAGGTCACATTCATTAAAGTTAGTTAATGCATACATATCTAATGACACACTTAATGACTAGCTGAAACATTCTAAGACTGAACTGAACACTTTCAGACTGTTTCCATCGACTGAAGCAGATTTTAAACACAGACTGTGAACACCGACTGAACGCAACTGTTTCTGAATCGGCGCGTTTGGACACGATCAGTCGTAAGTATCACATTACATTCATAATCGGCCTTACAGTAGTTAAGTGTGCCCCCGCTTAACAATGAGCAATGAATTTGTTACAGTATTTATCTATCTTTGTTAATGTTGGTTAAAAAATAACCAACATTAACATTAACATTGAAATTAACATTAACTAAGATTAATAAGTGCTTTAGAAGTATCTTTAGTTCATGTTTAACTAATGTAGTTAACTAATGCTAACAAATGGAACTTTATTGTAAAGTGATACCACATAAATGTCAATACTGTACATATTTCAAGGCCAATTCACAACGCACTGGCAAACGGCAACAAACAAGTTGTCCGTTGGATTTAGAATTTTATGAAAAATAACTGTCATGTTCACATTGCCCCAACACTCACGACAAATGCTGATTGAACATTCAGTCGGGTGAAAACAAACCCCCACCAACGGCAACAGACGGTGACAGGGGTAACACACTGATCCGACAAAACACAACAAACCTGTTTGTCTGTGTGGTGTGAATTGGCCTTTAGAATTCTGATATCGCAGACAGTGTCTGTCAAGCTCCATACGTGACAAAGCACCATAGAAGCAGTCCATATGACTAATGTGATATATTCCAAGTATCAAAAAGAGCAATGTGAACTCCCTGTCTAACATCTCCTTGTGTTTTTATTTTATTTATTTTTTAAAGAAAGTCATATGGGTTTGGAGCAAATTGAGAGAGTAAATGGCAATCCCTTTAATTTAACAGCAGAAATCAGAGCCTGGGAAGTCCCCGATTACATGGCTCTGTTATTGTGAGTGTGTGTGTGTTTGCCTTAGGATTGTATATTTCTGTAAGTTCATAGATTTGTTCACACACACACACACACACACACACACACACACACACACACACACACACACACACACACACACACACACACTGCAATAACATCTCCCTTCCGCTGCATTTGGGGGCTCAGAGTGTGAACAGTGACAATCTTGTTCTGCTCTGTGTATGTGTGTGTGTGTGTGTGTGTGTTGGGGCACATTGATGCATATTCTGCACATATTCACGGGTATATCCAGTATGTCTCACGATGTGTGGGTTCTTGCATGTGCTATATGTTTTAAAACGGTTTTGTATATCTTACCACTGAGTCAACAATGAAGCTGCAGGCTACAATCTCTAGCGAGTCCACAATGTTGCTGATGGGCTTGCACTGGGCAACCTCCATTTCCAGCTGCACATACAGTGACACACATTAGTATATAACTGATTTAGTTGCAGTGTAACATGACAAAGTGGTGCTCTTAAGGAAAATGCTGGACTTTGTCTTATACTCACTGAGTGCTTGGCCCACACCGTATATTGTGAAAAGTATCCCACAATGTTCTTAATGAATTTTTCAGTCTCCTGTGACATTTTTAACAATACAAAAATTGTTAAAAAATATATACATACTGTAACAGAGCATTTGAAAACTGAGCTATTAAAAATATATTCTTTTTTCTTCATTAGTATTTCGTCCCAAAAATAACCCAATTCAAGATATTGTCTCTAAAAAGAAATCTCAATGTCTTATACAATTGGCTTCTCAAGTAAATGTATCTTGTTTTAATGATGTTTAGATTTTTATTTTTACTGGAAAACATGTAATAATTAAGATACATGCAGTATGTATCTATGGATCAAAATTTACAATTAGTAAATTAATCATTTTTAAAAAATGAAACACGTATTTGTACCTGTTTGACCACATGAGAGACATTGTTGGAGATGAGATACTCTGCTGCCTCGATGGCATTCAGGACATTTGTCACTTTAATCTAGAGGGAAAAACAGTGAGAAATATTACATAATTATTCACATAATAATTATACAGAGTCCCTAAAATCTATTTGGACACATTATCCACTCCTAACCATGTATAAATGTCATTTCATTACCTATATTAAAAGCAAGAGGCATTTATTTTATAGAAAGATGTACATAAAACTGTGTGTATTTAATGGACTTACGGGTAGTTCTCTGGAGGTTTTCTGAAGCAGTTTGATGCTTTGACTTAGAGTGCCCTACAAGAAAAAATCACATACATTCTACTTAAATAAATATATAAATAAATACTATATAAATCTCTTACAATCTGGTCAACCCCTCCATGAGTCACTGGTTTCTCCTATGATTCTTATTCTATTAAATCTTTTTAGTAAGTCATGCTCCAGCGTTTTCTTATGAATTTAATTCTTTAGTCATTGCGATACAATTTCACAGGAAAAATTGCTGACAAATCACACAGTACAAACACAATGCTTAAAAAGAAGACACTTAAACAGACTTGCAAACACAAACATTTACAAAACACTTCTGAACTACTAAGGTCACATTACTGAAACACATTTTTTACAAAGTACATCTATTTTTGTTTAGTCACGTCACATGATACCAGCTGTTGGCTTACCCTTGCTTTCACAAATTTCTTTGGTTCCATTTGAAAAAATAGAATAAAGAATAAAACTTAGAATACTTAGATTCTTTCTGTGTCCTCATAAACCAAATGGCTTCAAACATTTTTTATTCTAATTCAAAAAATGACAAAAGTTTTCTGTGAAGCTTTTGTTTCCCTTAAACCATACCAGTTTGTGTGTTTGTTTGTATACCTTAAGTACTTATCAATATTTTGGGGACAAATTTGCAATCATAAGTGAGCTAAATCTGACAAAACCTCCTTTTGAGGATGTCCTCATATGTAAAAAGGTATAAAATAATAATAATAATAAAATAATTATTGTAACAATGCTCTGTTAGTGTTAGAGTGTGGGTTATATAATTTTATTTATTAATTAACGTGTGTGTGTGTGTGTGTGTGTGTGTGTGTGTGTGTGTGTGTGTGTGTGTGGTGGGTGGGTGGGTGGGCGTAGTTCAGGTATTCCTTACATCATGGGGACAAATTGTTATTCGTACTTACAATACTAGAAAACAGCTTATAAATCACATAAAATTATGCTTTTTGGAAATTTTAAAATTCAGTTTGTGTGTGTGTGTGTGTGTGTGTGTGTTTTACCATAGCCTGCTCCATTGGCACCACTTGATCTTTGTGGATCTGTCTGATACTGCTGGCATGACCCTTGAGCGCATTCTCAAGAGCACCACGTCGCTAAGAAAGAAAGTGGGAGAGAGATACATTGAAAATGTATAGAATTGTCCCACCCCAAAACACTTTAAAAAACAACAACAAGAAAAAACACTTTCACTAGTTTATAATAAACAAACATTTTCACCACATCTTCAACATCATTTTGTGTTGTAAATGAACTGTTTGGAATAAAATGTAAAACACAATAAACTTACTAAGGCTAATTTCAGAACTAGCATTTTATTTATACGAAATTGAATTTAATAATACATTTAAATATTAAATTCAATTTTATTTAGTTATTGTGGGCGAGACTTGTAACTTGTGAAAATCGGTATAAATAATTTTCATTCAATAAATATGGTTTATGCTTATTTCACTCTTTGTTTAGATTATAGATTTAAAATTGTAATATTTTATGATGAATATTTATATTTTAAGATTTAACGACTGTGTCTGGGACAAGGGTAAAATCAAATAAAAAATCAAATCAACTTTATTTATATAGCACCACTAAAAACAACAATTGTTGACCAAGGTGCTGTACACTATGTCGGACATCATCAGAATTAAACACCATGTACAACATAAATTACAGGACAGAACACAAGACAGACCAGACACAGCACAAATCAGCTACAATTATAAGCCAAAGAAAAATGATAGGTTTTGAGTTTTGCTTTAAACTCATGCAGAAATATCATTCTACTGTAAAATGCATATACTTGCAATACTACAGGTAGAGTTTGACTTATTTGTTAACTATAAACAATATCTATTACGAATTAGCTCACTTCTCAAACTAACATTTTATGCCCAAGTGCTGTAAAAGGCCCTCAGTCATATTCTCATAAGCACACGCACACACTGCAGCTCCACACACATCATGTAGCTGTGTGTTTTCACCTCATGAATGCAGTGCCTGTGTCCCTCTACACTGGAGGGGAGATTGCCATATAAAGTTTCAAAATGTTCCAGAGACTGACCACTCAGTGTTAACTGACATGACTCACTTTGAAACATAAAGTAAATAATATCTGACCTACTGAACTGCTAATATCTTCACATGTTATAAAATAAGACACTAAGTGGCTGGCATTTTTTACCGGTTGAAAGTGATTAATTTGTATTTGACTCACCAGTTGGTCTGCTTGAGCTTCAAGTTCATTTGCGTAGGACAAAAGATCCACAACCGTCACTCCTTTATTCACCTGTCAATGAAATCATCCTTAAAGTGTGTTCTACCGTTGTGCCTGTAAGTGTCTGAGAGTGTGAGGGTTACCTCAGTCAGATAAGCCTGATAGTCGATTTCTCCAATGCCTGTGTTGGCGAAGTCGATGAGGTTATCTTTGCCCTCCTGTTCCAGAAGAAGCATTCCCTGGAGATCCACATTCACACTATTAAACAGCTTGGCCATTTCCAGGTTATACTGTTAAGAAATCACAAACACGTGGTTAGGGTACTGGTGCCATGCTCAGTATGTACAGTAGATATACACAAAAACATGTGAAATGCTTTTTGTTTTTTCACACACCACTGTGGCATTGAGAAACTTGTTGAAGTTGAACTTGGTCTCCAGTTGTAGTGCTGAATATAAACCATTATTCTCATAACAATCTCTATGAGCAAGAGAAAAAGAAAAAAAGAGAAGTAAATCAACACAGTAAATCAATCTTCTCAAAGAGAAAACAGACTCTAGTGTCAATTACAGATATAGTTCACCCAAAAACTCGTTCCAAACTCATCTTCGAAACACATATAAAGATATTTTTTAATAAAACCTGAGCGATGTTGATCCCTCATCATATAAAGTGATTTTGTCTCTTTTTGATTTTGATTCTTTACTTTTACAATGTTTTTATTAACTTTTTAAAGGGTCAAAGACTTTCACTAGAGATACAGAAATCTCTCAGATTTAATTAAAAATATCTTTGAAATATATATATATATAATATAGTTAAAAGATGAACGAAAGTCTTATGGGTTTGGAAGGACACAAGGTTAATTATGACAGCATCTTCAGTTTTGGGTGAGCTAAAGATTTAAAATAACTACTTCTCATTGATCTTTAGCATTGATCTTCGCTCACTTACCTGTACATGCTGCCGATAGTAAGGTCAATGTTTGGATCTTGAAACAGCATGCCAGGAAGGACGTTCTTTTTGGCAGGATGGACCATGTATGGTGTGTCAATAATCTGCACAGCAATAAAAAATCCTAATTAAATTCAAAGGAGTCAATTTTCCATATGCTAATCAGTACATTTAAGATGATAATTCTATCTTCAGTTTCATGTTAGATTTGTGTTGTTGCAAACTTGTATGACTTTCCTTATTCTGTAGACCACCAAAGAAGAACTTTTCATTTAATATTAAAGGCGTACAAACTGTCATGAGTAACAAAATTTGATATTTTGGCACCACTTTATTTCACCGTGTCGGTAAGACTTTATTTTACAGTTTCTCTGTTACATCTTATATGTATACTTACTTACTATATTAATAACAGTAAAGTATGCACAACTATAAGCAACTAACCCTAAACCAAACCCTAACCATATAGTAAGTACATGTTGTTAATTAATATTACTCAGTACTTATTTGTATAATTACACTGTAACACGTGTAACCACAGTTTCCTTGGTAAGCCTGTTACATGTGCTTACTATAGTAAAATTGTTAAATTATGTACATGCAACTAAACCTAACCCTATAGTAAGTACATGTTGTCAATTAATATTACTCAGTACTTAATTGTATACTGTACTGTAATAAGGACACCTTAAAATAAAGTGGGTTTTTTTTCCGTAAAGATTTATTTTTGCCTTTTTTTTATATAGTATAGTGAAGAGTGGACAGGAAGAGAAGTGAGAGAGAGAGAGAGGGGGACAGGATCGGAAAGAAGCACAAGCTGAGATCTGAACTGGTGCAACTGTGTTGCGTGTACATTTGCCACAGGTAGGTTTTTCTACATCTACATTATAAGCTATTATCTATTATTAAACTGGAAATCAAATTGGGTCACACTTTTTATTTGGTGTCTTTTTACTACTATGTACTTACATTAAAAAACGTTAGGTACAATGTACTTATTGTGTTCATGTTGCTGCTACTGAGGTGAGATATGGGTAAGGTAAGGGACAATGTAAACATAATAGATGATCAATTTAAATGTTACTACATAGTAGTTAAAGACACTTAATATAAATTGTTCAATTTTTGTTAATCATAGAGTATTGTGCCAGTACCTTAAAAATCTGTCTGTTAGCCAGCGGCTCACACACAAGCTTCTCTATGTTTCCTCCAACAACAAATGTGGTGACTACAACTCCCATGAGCACCCAAGAGAAGATGAAGCTGAAGCCTACAGAGCTGCTCAACAACAGAGCCAAAAAAGTGAAAAAGAGAAGTTAGTATCTAACTTTTAAGTATAATCAAATATAATTTGATATGCACTTTGTGGGAAGGTGTTGTGTAGATAAGTAATAATAATAATAATAATTTGTTACATTTATATAGCGCTTTTCTAGGTACTCAAAGCGCTTTATTATGGAAGGGGAAATCTCCTCAACCACCACCAATGTGCAGCATCCACCTGCATGATGCGACGGCAGCCATATTGCGCCAGAACACACACCAGCTTATTGGTGGAGAGGAGACAGAGTGATGAAGCCAATCAGTATATATGGGGACGATTAGGAGGCCATGATGGACAGAGGCCAATGGGCCAATTTTGCCAGGCTGAGCTTTATGTATTTAAGTATTATGGTATATGTTGTTTTGGTGTTTCCATGGTAACTCACGCCATCAGCAGGTTTCCTCCAGTGTTGGACAGACATCCACGTGCGGTGGGTGTGGCATTTTTATCATAGCCACATGATCCACACAGCAAACCCAGGAAATTAAAGGCCAGAACCAGCACGACCATACAGCAGATCACTACACACCCTATCCATCTAGAGACACAAAGACAGAGATAAAGAGATATTGAGTGAAAGTGAGAGTGTACACTGTGACTGCAAGATTTTTGTAAAAAAAAAAAAAAAAAAATCAGGCCTAATTTTTTAATGCAAGAATGCATTACAGTTTTTTGCAATTGCTATGACACATTTCTCAATACTTAGGAGAACTGTGTGAAGAGTTTTGAAAAAGTGACCTAATCAAATTTCATCTTGGCACAGCCGTTTATTTCACATTCAAAATGCACTAAAACTACCAAATCACGTTACGTATTTAGGGGCCAAGCACCGAAGGTGCAGAGGCACCTATTGTATCTGTTGGTTTTCTTATTATTATTATTCCGTGAATGGGAGTCTATGGCAGCCCTATGAACCGTAAGTAGGAAAATGATGAAATTTGGCACACTTGTAGTGATGCTAATGAATAGTAATTGGACCAATTTTTGACCCTCTAGGACCAACTCTATAGCGCCACCACCAGTTCAAAAATTCAACATTGAAATGGTTATAACTTTTGAACCCTTTGATCTAGAGACATGAAACTTAGTACACCTGATTCCACTCATCATGCTGATCACAACCAATACCTTACATTAAGACCCCGCCCATTACAGTAGTGGCCATTTTGAAATGTACAGTATTCAGTTATTTCGCTACTCCTCCTTCAAATTTTGTCCAATTTTCTCCAACCATGTGCTCAAATGATCTTCGGACTGAGCCGCATAAAAGTACTGTTCCCGATTTTTTTGTTATACTGGAAAAAAAAAGTTGTACTTTCGCAAACTTAACGAGGTCCACCCAAAATTGGCTAAGAGGCTGTATCTCGGCCAAAGTTTGATCAATCGATACGAAAATTGGTACGCTTAATCGGAAGCATGATCTGAGGGACCCTGCCAAAGTCAGGAACAGCGCCACCTACGGGTCATGAGATATGGAAAAATGCTATTTTGGCCAATAACTTTTGAACACTTTGTCAGAAAATCATAATTGTGGTATCTATGGATTCCTTGCATCATGCCGAATCCGTGGATATCGATTTTGCCATGATGGGATGTACCCCGTGTCCGCCATTTTGAATTTTGTCATAATTTGCAATATCTTTTAAACTATTTGAAATTTCTTCACCAAATTTGGTATGGATCACCATTAGCATGGCCCGGAGGTACCTGAGAAGTTTGATCACAGCGCCACCTAGTGTTCCAGAGATATCATTGTTTTTTGAAAAAACGCTTATAACTTTTGCTATCATTGCTTGAAATTTGATTTCTTTATGTCAATATATTCCTTGGCTTATGCCGATTTCAACGATATCTCATATGCTATTTTCCAACAATGTGACTGGCCGCCATATTGGAGCAAATGTAAAACAGTTTTTTCGCTACTTCTCCTTCAAAATTTGTCCAAAATTGTCCAAAATTTGCTCAAATGATCTTCGGACCGAGCCGCACAGAAGTACTGTTCCCGATTTTTTTGCTATACTGGAAAAAAAAAAGTTATGATGTCGCAAATTTAACAAGGTCGACCCAACATTGGTTCAGAGGCTGTAACTTGTGAACAGTTTGTCACAAAATCATAAAATTGGTGTCTATCGATTCCTTGCATCATGTCGAATCCGATGATATCTATTTTGCCAGGATTGGATGTACCACGTCATAAGCTAAATTAGCATTAAGCTAGCTTAGCATGCTAATCTGGTTAACATGTCATGGAACTTTTTTGTGAACTCATTCTCACACTGAACCCTCTCCTCTGCTGTTTTGAAATTCACGTCCTCTGAGTGGCGCAATCAGCTAAACCATGCATCTCGAATCCCGAACCATTCTGGTCGTGGGTTCGAGTCCCATGTGGGACGACTTTAAAATTGTGTATAAAGTTGTCATTTCAATTCCTTCCGGCTCTGCTCTGCTGTTGGTGCTTAAATGCTAGCTGTGCTTCATTTACATGTATATTCAATTTGTGCTGTTTTTGTTCTTGCGGCTCTGCACTGCTATTGGTGCTTAAATGCTTGATGCGCTGCTGTACTTGCAGTACTTGCTGTACTTGCTGTGCTTGCTGTACTTGCTGTACTTGTTGTACTTGCTGTACTTGCTGTACTTGCTGTGTTTGCTGTGCTTGCTGTACTTGCTGTGCTTGCTGTACTTGCAGCTTGCTGTACTTGCAGTTTGCAGTACTTGTTCTGCTTGCGGTGCCAAGCCTTTGAACTTTGCTGTACTTGTTCTAATTGCGGTGCCAAGCCTTTGAACTTTGCTGTAATTGTTCTAATTGCGGTGCCTTGCAGGGCTTGGCCCCGTGTTGCTGCTTGCAGCTATATTTCTATATGTTACTGTCACGCACGGTTGCAAGCACACAGAAAATAAAGATCTGGATCTAATCGCTGGCAGTTGTAGATTTATTAACTATAAGCACAAAACAAAATACTCAAGAAACTTTGACTAGAAAAACATGAACAGAACAACCGGTAGAGATGCGACGAGAACAGAAAAATGAACTTAACAAAACACAGGGCTTATATTTTTTTTTTTACAAATACTAGGAAACATTTCTCAATACTTTGGTCATTTTTTCAAAACTCTTCACACAGTGATCATAAAAGCAGTCTATGTGGGCTAAATTGTGGATGATTTATCATTGCTTTGGCACAAAATGAATTCAATGACTACATCCTTTAAATTACATGAATCCATTTCTCACTTAGACACAACACAGCCAAAACTCTTATATAGGCCAATTTACACATGCTTACATACTCTTTTCAAACTGTTAAACTTAAGTTCACAACCTAACATAATACAAAAGTGAATAAGACAGCAATTTGCTACATTTCTATAGTAATACGATATTGAAATATATATTACGAATAAAAAAAAAAGAAATACTATCAAAACAATTATATGTAGCTGAACACTTACGTTAATCTTTAAATTTGATTACCATCTCTACAAAAGGGGAAAACTTAGGAATAATTTTATACTGTTATGTAAACATGGACTATTGAACATATACTGCAATGAATTATAAGCAGTAGAGAGTGCCATTCTTGTTTTCTAAAGAAACTATAAAAAATAAATCATTGTATAATGCTGACTGTTGTTCGTGTTTTTTATGTCATTGTGACAAAGTGTGTTTGTTGGGAGAAAAACTAACTAACTTTGTTAGTGTTATGGAAGAATGACTTGATTTGGGACATGTATGAAATGTTTTGGTAGTTTTAGTGCATTTTGAATGTGAAATAAACTGCTGTGCCAAGTTAAAAGTTGGTTAAGAGAACTGTGTGAAGAGTTTTGAAAAAGTGACCTTAGTATTGATAAATGTGTCATAGCGACTATAAAAAAAAAAACTGTAAATACACAAGTGGACTCACAGGTGATCCAACTAAGGCAATCAAGTGAATAACTATGGCAACAGACTCAACCATGTGCAAAACCCACCGAAAAACAGACACAGACAACCCGTTACAGTAACATAGTCCATATTTACATTAGTGTACAAAATTATTCCAATGCTGTCCCCTTTGTATAAATAGTAATGAAATTGAAATAATCAGTGTGTGAAGAGTTCTCAAAAAGTAGCGATTGTTAAAAAAAAACCTGTAAAATTATCAAAACTGACAGTAGATATATTTATAAATTGTAATAATATTCCACAGTATTTTTACATTTTCATTTTTTTTTACTGTTTTTGGTGAAATAAATGCACCCTGGGTGAGCATAAGAGATTTCTTTCAAAAACATTTAAAAAAAAATCTTACAGACCTCAAATGAGTGGTAGTGTATAAATTAAATATTTGGAACTTTTAAAATATGTCATTAATAACTGGTTCAGTTTGGTTCAGCACACACTATTTGCATTTAATGTAAATTGAATTTGAATTTACTACTTGAATTTTCTATGACTGAATTCGGTTGCATCATGTGGTTGTCACTCCCTAAAAAACATCTCAGAAAAGGAGTGGCAACTGAATATGTGTGTAGCATAAGTTTCATATTAGTAATCTCTACAGAAGTACCTGTAGAAGTCCAGCTGGTCGATCTGGGGGTAGTAAGCCTCAATGTTCTTCTGGCTCTCCGTCAGGAACTTTGTGAAGTTCTCAAGTGCCGGTTCTAATGGGAACATCTTTGTGAAACCAATTATCTCTCCACACGACTTATCCAGCAGCCCTTTCACTTCTTTAACAGAGAGAGAGACAGAAAGATGAAGTGAATATGTGTTTGGGAATATGGAGATGTGATAAATAAGTGAAACAAGGCAGAAACATATTTTTTTCCCAGTATTTCCATGAAATAACTAACATCTCTAGCACTAAAACATCTCGTGGATTAATGTTGAAGGGACACAGTACTTGAGGCACACTTACTGGGTAGAGCTTCATTTTTTAAAAGACAGACCGGTTTCCGAATGCATAGGAACAGATACGAGAACAAAATAAAATTTAGTTTTTTTGGTGATTTCTTTAGTTTCAGAGAACAAATAAAGTTAACATGTTGAGTACAGAGAGATGCTCTGTTGAAAAACCTAATGAGTTTCCTATATGAAGGCACCGCATTGAGGCATCATAGGCAACACTCCCTATGTATAGGCAGCGAGGTTTTGGTACAAAGCTAGATAGATAGATTAATAAAGAGAATGCCCTCACCTGACACAATTCCTTTCGTCTGTTCCCTGACCATCCTTGGTGTATCGTTAAAAGAAGAGTAGCCCTGAAAGAGATAAACAAAAAGAAAAAGGTGGTGAGAAAACTGTCACAATACATTACGGGGTAATTAGTGGGTGCATGATAGAGGTAGACCCATCTGACCTTCTGTACAATATTGCTGAGGTCTGTTTCAAGCACAGCGTCCAGATTGGCCAAAGGCGCCTCAACCTCAGGCAACTGTTGGATGTCACACAGGAGTCACAAATAAACCACACACACCAACATATTGTGCGATGTTCCTAAAGACCCCATTTAGCTCCATACAAACATAAAGCAGATTTTTAGTACTTTTTTAGTATTTTTAGTAGCGAAAGGTTGCTACTGTATTTTTTACGATAAAATACTGACAAACTACAGCTGCCGGGTTTTTTTTACCGTAAATTTCGTAGGTTAATTTTTTTTTTACAGTGTAGTTTTAAACCATCTATATTATATGCTTTATTTACAGTCCGTCTCTTCCAGGAAGATGGAACAAAAATACTGATGACTCATCCTGCACTACACAGATTTTTTTCCAATCAAATACAATGCCCCCTTCCATTAATACCACCTGTAAATGACTAGCAAATACCTAATCATGGATCATGGCTGTGAAGTAACTACATTTTACTGGCTTTTAAAGGGGTGGTTAAGTATGATTTCACTTTTCTAACTTTAATTAGTCTGAAATGTTGCTGTTTTAGCATAAACAACATCTGCAAAGTTACAACGCTCAAAGTTCAAAGCAAAGGAAGATATTTGCTTTTAAAGAAAAGGACTACACCAGGCTGGTAGGGACTACACGACATTCCTCCTGGGTTACATCACCAACCCTAAAATCCATGTTGAGAAGAGAAAAGTTGTTGTATAAGAGTACATTTGTGAGTCAGCTCAAACTTTAGCATCCATCTTTTCACATGCAATAGAAATTCACTCTGTGTGCATCTCACAACAGTTCCTATACGAGCGATTTATAGATTACCATGACAGAATATTCTAATTGAAGATAGTTAACTCCAAATCAGCAACATAAATTCATCACTTAACTATTCAGAGACGTCCTGTTGGATTCTACATGTTGTCACTCCTTCTTGAGTCTTTCCATCTTTGTCAGACTCCGTTTTAACATTAAGGGCAGAACAGTTTCTGTTATTTTAGTGTGTCTGCGTGAGGTAATCGCAGCTGCTAACACACATGAGCTCTTGAAACCCCGCCCTCTGCAGCAGCTCATTTGCATTTAAAGGGCCAGGCACAAAACGGTGCGTTTTTGCAAACCCTCAAAAAGTGACTTTAACATGCTATATAAAAATAACTGTGGGATATTTTGTGCTAAAACTTCACACACACACTCTGGGGACATCAGAGATTAATTTTACATCTTGTGAAAATGGCATTTTACCAGCCCTTTAAAAACAGGATGAACCAGAAATTGCAACCATTTTTTCTTTCCTTTTATTATGATTAAGTTAAATGGCTTCTTGAACCCAAAAAAAAAAGAAAAAAAAGAATGGGACTTGACAAGAGCATATGTTTTTTTGTTTTTGTTTTTTTAAGAATAATGTATAACTCATTTATAATAAATACTGCAATATTCCATAAAATATTAGAATTGTCTATTTTGATTTCATGGTGAATGGATGAGCACTCAATATGTCCTGTCTAAACTAAGCAAATTGATACACTGATACAGTCTTTACCAAGTCTCATGGGAAAAACATGATTATATATTAATTTTACAAATTACTAAATGTAAAGTTCAGTTATAGAGTCAGAAGCCTCATCTGCACAGAACTAAATAAAACTCGCTTTTAGTGCCACTCAGAGGACATTTCACCTAAAGAATCATTGATTTCCTACAAATGGTTTACTTTTTGTTGTCCGTGCACATAAACTGGGATAAAAGAACAGAATTTTAAGATAGAAAACTTAAAAGGTACGTATTTCATCACATGTATATGTGGGCTGTGTGTGTGAGTGTTACCCCAATAAAGTTTGCGCTGAGAGCGAGCTGGCTGAGTGTTCCGCGGATGGTGCTGCAGGTGTGTGTTACGTCTCCATTAGAGCAGGCCTGGTCGTTGAGTGTGTTTGAGAGAGACGCACGTTCAGATTGAAGAGAGTTCTGGAGTCTGCCAGTCCCTTCCTGTAGGGTCTCCAGTGATGTGGTCACACTCTCTAATGACTCTTTGGCCTCCCGCATGGCTGTAAACACACAGAGCACTTTCATTATAACACGCTCACATGAAGAAAAATAAATACATGAACCATTGGAAGGGATAACACTATTGCAAATACACAACTGATCACAGAACAACCAAAACACTTTTATGTATATGCCATTTTCTCATATAAATTTGTGTCTCTATTCAGATTTTTCTGCAGCTATTTAGGTTCTCATTTCATAAATTTGATGAAACGAAAGATATTGCAGTATTGCATAAAAAAACACAGGACTGCTTATATCTACAATACTTAAAACAACAACAGAACGAACAACAACAACCACAATCTCTGTTCACAAAACACGTGGGTGAAACCTCTGACTTTTACCTTTAATAGCACCTTCCACTTTAACTTTTATCCAAAATCACAAGCAACAGAAACAGAAAGGAAGAAATTAATAAGAATAGTATCAGTGTGAGTGTCTTGAGCAAGTTACTAACAACATCAAAAAGTCTTGAAATTTGTTTTGGCTGAACATTTCTGTTTGTCATTTGGTGTCCTCTGGACCAGGTCACTCTTGCAAAAGAGATTTTAATCCTGAATCTCAAGTCTTGTTCAGCTTGTTTAAATACACAGAACTTCTACAATGTGCACATGTGTGAGCAGGAAAGAAAAAGGTGTGTAGGTGAACATTTAGGGTATCGCATTTAGTCAGTTGAGTTTGATTTTTCTTTTTATCAGACTAAACTATAAAACCCCATGGAAGAGTAAGCACTGATTAAGCTCAGTTACAATTTATAATTACAAATCAATTATTGTAAGTAATTAATTATTTCAAATTAATTATTAAATATATGGAAATACATTCCTGCCTTACCTTTGAATTAAGTTCGACTTTCTTTCTAGTAATTCTGACTTTATATCTGACGACTGAGGTTTTACTTGAAAAGTCGCAATTTACTTTACTTCATTATGACTTTAAATCTTACAATGTGACCTTATATCTCACAATATGACAATCTTACAATTATCCTTTTTTTATTCAGCCTTGAATTGAAAATTCTTGTAATTGATCTTGAATTCACAAGGGAAGAGAATAAAAGAGAATGTGAATTGCAAATGTCATTTATTTGCACACACTACTTTCCGACAGACACTTCAATGTATTTAACACTTACAGTGGTTAAACTGGATAGTGAATGGTTAGTGAATAAGACTCATGGTTTTGCATTGAAATGCCACGTTAAAATGTCAGTCCAGTTTAGTGAATTCGGCCCCTCGGTGTACTGTACTGTATGTACTGTATGTTTGTTTTTGCACCTGATGTCATGCGAAGAGCGTTGTCTAAAGCAGGTACTACTTCTCTCTCCAGCTGATTATGAATCTGTCCACCCAGCAGAGTCCCAATATCTGATAAACCACATTGATAATACATTTCAAAATTATTAAACGCAGCTCCAGCATAAAGTACGCTACAGTTAAAGAGTTTGGGGTCAGTAAGATTAGAAAAGAAATGAACAGTTTTATTCAGCAAGGGCACATTAAATTGATAGAAAGGGACATTAACAATGTTGCAAAAGATTTCTATTTCAAATAAATTCTGTTATTCATCAAAGAATCCTGAAATAAATGATGTACTGTATCATGGATTCCACAAAAATATTAAGCAGCACAACTGTCAACACTGATAAAAATAAGAAATGTGTCTTGAACACTAAGCGAACATCAGCATTTTAGAAGGATTTCTGAAGGATCATAACTGGAGTAATGGCTGCTTCACAGGAGGAAATTACATTTTAAATATATTAAAATAGAGAACAGTTATTTTGAATTGTAATAAAATGTCACAAAATTACTCTTTTTACTGTATTGTTGATCAAATAAATGCAGCCTGGGTGAGCATAAGAGACTTCTTTGAAAAAATGTTTAAAAAAAAAATCTTACCAACTCCAAAATTTTCACCGTTAGAGTGTATGTTCACATTGAGACACGAGTCACACGACAGAGGGAGAAAGAGAGAATACTTACTGTCTAAGTCTGATAATACTCTGTTCTTGGCTGTTGTGTACTGTGCAGCCAGGTAATCTATTTGCTACAAAAGAAAAAAGGGAAAAAAATAAAGACAAACAGACTTAGACTTGGTGTTTGAAAATATGTCTGTGTTTGTCGCTGTGCTTCTGATCAGACCCACATAGAATCTGCACCAACAGAATCAGCAGATTTCTATTTTTTTTAGCTAATCTGATTAGCTTTCCACCTAACAATAACAGTGTAATACTCTTAGCTTTGTTCACAAATTTGACCACTTTGACCATTCCATGAGTTAATGGCTTACCGCTGGTGTGTAGTTGGCAAAAGATTTCAGGTCTCTTATGTTAGTACTGACGAGACGTCTGGTGCTCTTGATCTGAGATGTGATGTTCTGGTTTGCTGCGTAGGTGATCGTCACTCCCACTCTGTAAACAAAGCAACACATTTTGGAAATAATGTGCTTAGAGTTATTGTTATGACACACGTTATGTTGGGGAAACATATGACAAACTGCAGATTTAGGAATGAGTAAATTAGAAATAAAATAGTAAAGTTGACCGTCTGGTCTAATGTATGACTCTGAGGGAGGGAGTTTGTGATTTTTTTTTTTTTTTTTTACAAATATTTATTATTCAAATTTCCCTGCTCTATATATTGCTATCGGTGACATGCAGTAATTTCCGACGTCCTCAGTGTGGTGCTAATGTCATGCTAAGATAACAACATGAACTTGCAACCATAGTTGGCTTTGGGAAATGCACCCTTGTTTAAGTAATGTGATTCAAGGGGTTTAAGTGACTTACAGGGGTTACAGATATTTCCCAATCAGCATTACGTTTGAAAAGATCCTACAAATCTGATGGCTTCTTAACCCCCACAACCCTAATTGAAAAGCAAAGTATCTAATCGTTGTCACTTCCAAATCTCAGCAGAGATTTATTTGACTACTGTATCGTGACTACTACTGAGATATCAGATACTCATTTGACATATGACATCTTGTGTACTTAGTAGCAAAAAGGTATTTGAAAGCAAGTTAGTCAAGACGCATTTACAGCTCAGGTGATTGGTTAAAAAAAAAATCCTGGAACAAAGATGGCAGATTTCTGTACACAGTGTCCTACACTATAGCCAAACAACAGCATTGCTATGAATAGGAATGCTAACAGATAGTCTTCTCCGGGTATTATAGAACTCCTTGGAGACAGTAGACCAAGGTATACAGAATATTGCATTAAATTGATTAAAAGTGATTGTAAAGATTGTTCCAAAAAATATTTCAAATAAACGCAGTACATCAAAGAATCCTGAAAATCTTCCATAAAAAAATAAAATGGTACTGTTTCAACATTAATAATAAGAAGAAATGTTTCTTGAGCAGCAAATCATCATATTAGAATGATTTCTGAAGGATCATGTGACACTGAAGCTATATTAAAATAGAAAACAGTTATTTTAAACTGTGATTATATTTTACAATATACTGTTTTACTGTATTTTTGATCAAATAAACAGCCTTGGTAAGCATAACAGACTTACTTCTTTCAAAAACAAACAAACACAAAACCTTTGGATGGTAATAAATGTTTTTATGAATAAATAAATAACATTGTTAAAATACATTGTTTAAATATATATAAAATATATATTTTAAGACCCACATGCACACATTCACTGGTGTTTATACGTAGCCACAAACTAAAGTTTACTAATATAACACTTTACTAATTGAGTGGTGCAGATACATATTAAATTGTGGCATCTGATTACAGATTATTGCCAGACAAACCTCTTTCCCTGTTCCCCCAATCTCTCGTTTCCTCTCGTCTCTCTCAGTAAAAAAAAAAAAATTTAATAAAGGGGAAATGTGATTCAACAAAGGAAGCCATAGAGAGAGAAAAAGAAAAGAGTGAAGAAAGAAACAGCAGATTTGCACAGTCATGATCTCTGCTCCCAGGCCTCGTCCAGCACAATTACTGCAAACCTCTCAGTAAGTCATTGAAAGTCCATCAAGACACACACACACACCCTCACAGTACAGTGTATGCCTTACAAACGCCCATTGTGACCCAAGTAACTGCTGTCAGCACTGTCACAGAAAAAAAGAAAAAAAGAAAAGAAAAAAGAGGCAAAAAGAAAGAGGGGGATGGGGTACAGAAATAAAGAGGGGACTTTCTCTCCGGACAGACTCAGGACTATCAATGTCACATGTGTGAATGTGTCTGTGTGTGTGTCATTCTAGACCACTTCAGGTGTGTTCACTACACTCTCTAGCAATGGTCCAAATCAACTGGTTAGAACAAACCTCTAAATTGTCAATTTTCCCAATTGAAAATCCAAATTCCCAATGTCCGTTTAAAAATCATTAAGGATCCAAATCTGACAGAAAAAAATACATTAGAAAACACAATTGCACAAGCACAAACCCTAACTAGATTAGTGTGGAGCAGCACAGCTTGTGTTTATTAAAGAGCAGTGATAGGATGGTGGTGGTTCAATGTACTGTACCTGTGACCTCTATTCTTTTTCTAGACATAAATAAGTCTAATGTACTTTACCAGAATCGCTCTTCACATTTCCATGCAAACTGGCCACAGGACACAGTAACACATTATTTAACGGTCTGCATATGTTCTGAAACATTTCTTAAATATTCTGTACATTGAATATATATATATATATATATATTGACCTTATTCGCAAACACCGGAAGTAGCTAACCGCGGCCATATTGTTGACATGACATCTGTCCTGCTGCCCCTAACCGCGCGCAGATTTGAGTTGAGGGGAGCAGTAGCCTGGCTTCATCTCGTCGGTATCAAGAGAAGATAATGCTATTATTTGATGTGGGTCCACACCAATCAAGCTTAAGTAAAGATCCGTCCTTATTGCCACCTTTGCCAGCCGTAACTTATCCGGATATTTATAACGATCTCGTTCATACAGTAGGCTATCCGTACAAACTACAATGCACCTCAACAAGGCAACATAATGAACGACACTCGTCTCATTCGTGGAGGTGGAAAAACAAATTCTTTGTGACATGCAAGATTTGTTGTATTAAAATGTAAATGCAAAAGAAAAGGCATGAGAGTCGGTTGTTTTTGTCAATTTTAAGTTTTCATTTAAAATGTTTGCGATTTTAATATAAGTACATGGTTACATATTTTACCAACATTTGCTTGAGCAACTTATATAGAAGTAATGCATGGAATAATTGGCTTACGTTGTTGAAATAGTGAGTATGTGTTAAAATAAAAATAGTGAGTACCGGGGTGTTTGTGGTACAGCCGCGGATCAGTTACGCACTGCAAACGCAGCATATAAAGTATTGCGCGTCCTGCTTCTGTACTGTATACACACCGCACACGCATTGCACACGGATTATGTGTGAAACCTGTGGTAAAATGATGGGAACAGACTTTTCTATGGGGAGTTGGCTGAAAGTTTAGCCTATTTATCCTAGCCTCTCCTGCGCTGGCTCAACTCTGTCTCCTTCCCTTCACGCTTTCTGACAGTCGGTAACTTATCACAATCATAAAAACTAACTCCGGGGTTCTTATTGCTGTTGTTAGAACAGCCGTGTATTACACAACACACCATCACGCTGTTTAAAAATAAAAAATACAGTGATAATACCATGGATAATACCGACGCTGCCTCGCTTGTCAATTGACAGACTGACAGTTGCCGTGGTTTCTATGTCAACAATATGGCCGCCGCAAACATTGATGACGCAGATCGAATAACATCTATATATACAGTATATATAAATATATTAGGGCTGCCCACTAATAGTCGACTAACCGTTAGTCGACTAGAAGAGACTTAGTCGACCAAAATCGTCGACCAAATCGACCAAATAGTCGTTTAGTCGCAGAAAAAAAAACTAGACACAGGTTGTGACAAACGTTAACGTTCTTGTAAACGGCAGGAAATCCAAACATTCGCCTATCATTTGACGACTTCAAATATGGCTTATCACTTGAAACATGTAAGTTGCAGCACTTTACAAGTCCGCTCGCTCTAATGTTAGGCTAACCTAGACAAATGTGTGCTATTATTAGGCGCAAATCTAAGAATTTGTGTGGAGAGCGCGCTTACTGCATGACATACAGGCGCCAGTACATCACTTGCATTTAACTTAAAATACTCCATCATTTTTAGTCATACAGATATACCAGCTGAGCCTCAAGAACGATCTCAACCAAGCCTGAACCATGGCACTTATGGTTAGTGATCATGCTGAGGTAGTCCATGGCAGTAGAGAACTGCCCTGGGAGGACTAGGTGGTGCTTGTACTTCTCCCTGTACTTCCAAACAAGTGAAAGTGCCTTCATACACAGATCAAAGGTGTTGATGCTGTACTTCTGACCGACCTCAGCTGCAGTCTCCTCCTGTCCTAATGTCCTGTAGTCCTCAAAAGACCTGTTTGCTAGCATTAGTCAAAGGAGCTAACCATCATGTCTCTACGATGTTCTGGTGCAGAGATATAGGTCTTGCTAAACGGTTGCTAGGGTACTGTTTGGTTGCTAGGGAGTGGCTTTTTAGCTGCCAATGATGATACTCCAAAGGCTGCTTGTCAGTATGAATGATATAAACCAACTGCAATCCCTCTATGACATTTGGATTTGAAGATATCCCTCTTTGGGTTTGGGTTGCTAGGGTGCTCGACAATGGTTGCTAGGGCATGGCTAGGAAGTGTTGAAGGTGATTTGTGATTGGCTGTTTACGGCCCCGAGTCAAATGAGCCCACCCTCATGTTTCTATGACATTTCTATCCAAAGATATCCCTTTGACCTCTTTCAGTGGAAGTCTATGGAACTTGTTGCTAGGGTGCTCTAAATGGTTGCTAGGGTGTGGCTTGATAGCTTCATTGTGATCCTGAGAGACCCCCCATGTCTCTATGACACTGTGATCCAGAGTTATGTTCAATACAAAATTTCTATGCAAGTTACATAGTAGGATAAACACGTATGTGCAATCCCTGTTTCATGGGCCGTCCCTTCACCATAGTATGTCTATGGGGCAACTTTGGGCAGCTCTTGCCCCCCAGGAGTACAACTTACACCCCATTGTGAGGTGTGTTCTTACAGAGCCTGCCAGGCTCTTCAAATTTGGTAACCCATATGTTTCTACAAAATCCTCGCTCAGAGCTATGACTCGCCAAAATCCGTTGCAATGTTAAGTCTATGGGATTTTTTGACCGCCGTGCGAACATCGTATGCCCGATCGCTTATAAAAGATATATCATACCTCTTTCCAATAATCAGCACGATTTGACGCCTCATTCATGGGTCTATGACAAACTAATGCAAGAAACTAATGCAAAAACAAAATAGCAAAAGTTACATCGTTATGAGCCTAAAATGTGTTATTTGCCTGTTTTTCACCAATAAAGAGTGGCTGTACCATGTCAATGATT